CTATCAAAATACCTATACAGCGAGTACGTAATGATTTATTTATCAGTTGGCCCTTTACTTATACACTTGTTTATCGACAATACACCACCATGACCATGCTAATAATCAGAAGTGACAACATAGAACAAATGTAACAGATGATGAAGTGATTCCTCTTGGTGGTGTCCTTAGATGGAGGTACTCCTATAATTTACTTATAAGACAACACTCTAATGTGGGTACTTTCTCCACCCTACTAAGGAGAAAGACACGATCTCATAAGGATGGTGTTCACTTCCTTGCGATAGGACTCAACGAAACAAATCGATAAAACAACAACTCCTTTAACTCCGAAATGGATATCCTCCTGGTTTTCCATGGTTTATTCGCTCCTTACAACTACTTATAAGGTTAGGAAATCACAACACAGATCACGTCATAGGAAAGTTAGCCGATTTCCTGATTCAGGAATCATTCCTCCCCTGATAAAGACGCCCCTTCACATATATTTGTGGGAAGAGAATGTTCCTATTCACTATGTCACTTGGGACACTTTAAGGCCCCTTACAACCAAACAGGGGGGGGTTCACTATTAATTAATGGACTAACAGACTAATCAAGCGGACGAAGGGACACATATTAACACAATTTAGAGTCTTGTTGGACATAACTAAGAAATCATCACCTTAATGTACAGATATAATTTATTCCTCTACTAAAATATCAATCACCATTTGGAACAAATAAAACAGCATGTACTGTCTTATTTCTGTTTTTCATATCACCTTACTCATCAGCCTACCTGCATCACGGGTGCAGGGTTTCTAATGTGAATAAAATGGGCAAGTGGATGAATCTTCTTCTTCCGTTCCTCTTTATATCAATTAATGCTCCTTTGGTATATTTCTGGAATAAAATTAATCTAGTCGCTGTATCTCCTGATGATTCCTCCCTCTGAATTACTGTCTTGTCGTCTATCGGAAGAGTTGCGGAATAGGTCACACTACTTCAAGGAGTTGTTACCTTTTCTATGTTGGTCCCCTTATTTTGCCTATAATACAGAGTGTCTGATACAACAATTAATATTGTGTTATTCCATCCTGAGTCTCGACTTGGAACTCGATTCCACCTCATGAAGTCTCCTCGCAAATCCTCATTTGTCATTTTTTCCCACATATCTCTAGACACAATCCAACAACTAACTCGTCTGGGCAGGTTCTTTGGTCTCATTTTTAGACAAGTTTTGGTTGTTTTATTATAATCTCCTTGCAGAGATGGCAGAAGAGGAGTATGGGACTTAATTTTTTTGATCTTTGGTTGTTAGAATTTTCCTTTTCCTAGAATTAGTCTCGTAATAATTGCCTTTTTTTACGTTAGTAAACTTGATACTCTAGGGAAGGACACAATATTTGTCTGTTAGTCCTTAAAGGGATACCAATATACTCAGTTGTCGTTACTTATGATCATCACAGATTCTGGGGGGCATTATTCTCAGGTTCCATCTATCTTACTTTACCTCTATACCCTTGTTTCCACGCTCAAGATTTATATAATCTCCTTTAAATGACACGTGCTATTTTCTTTAAAGGGGAAAAGTCCAAGGTAGGAAACCGGTGGACTTGTTTGATGCTGTCGGGGTTGTGATATATTACCTTATACTACTTTGGGGGTGAATGTCAGGTATTGGTTCCTGGTTATTTTATTGTTATCTATTCATCATTCATTATTGGATATCCAGTTTTATTATTTCACCTCTAACTCGTTCAGGAAAAATTAATTATTTCAGAATATTTATCATGAAGTGAGCCCCTTATGTCACTCAGTAGGGTTTGTTTGGGTCGTACATTTAGGCTTCCTATAACGCAGATTTAGTTTTCCTTGACTAGGAATTCTATTATTTCCTTTTCTTGATTCGAGTTGCAGACCTAATTTTCTATCTTCTTGTTTCTTTTGATAGATCACTTCCTATGCCACTAAAGCTTCTGCATATATATAATTACCTAGGTATTGATTCGATAACTATATATACATATAATGTCTTCTAACATTAAACTTATATATGCACTCTCCCGAAAGAAATGAGAAAACCAACGTTAAATCAATTGATTTCTTCTAATTGCCTGATGAAATATAGTATTCCTTGAACAAAATAACTACTAATTAGAAACTTAGTAAAAGATCACAAACGAGGCAATAAAATATTAAGAAATTATATATATCCTGTTGGGAGGAATAACATCCATGAAATTAATAATAGAACATTTTTAGTTATTTGACTTAATAACAGGAAATCTATTCGGTATAAAAGAACAATAAGTCATGTCGCGGAGACAAAAATAATAATTGAGGAATTATAAACTAATTGGGGCGCAGAGGACCCGTTTTACGTAACGCACTTTATGCACCATGGTGGAAATAAATACAATAAAAAAATTAATAAAACTATTTGGTAATTAGACGGAATGTATCAATAATTAACTCATGCCCTCTTTTCAATAACGAAATAGTAATTTATATATAAGAAAAATAAAAAAAAATTCGGCAAGGAAGTATAAATGAATGATGGTACAGCAGAGGCATCTTTAATCATATATATTAATTACTGTATAGAATTTATCATCAACTCTTGAACTTATTTTCTGTAGAATAATGCTAATTGAACATATATTTATTATATTTAAAAAAGAAAGGTAACAAAAAGGATGATAATAATAACGGGCCTAAAAGGAAACACTAAAAAATTCCCGAAATGGTACGAAACCAATATTTAAATAGGATTACTTAGGGAATCGGGCAATACATTCCTACTTACATTGCCTATTTAATCGGTCAGAAACATAATGAGAAGGGATATTAAGGATAAAGGGGATTCTTCTCATAGAACAGTAAAATAATCTTCTCATGGAATACATGAGTTGCATCTTATATATTACGAATTCATTCCTGAGGAAAAACAAAAACTTCAATGCCGATCAAGTACACAAAGGGGGGGAGGCACTATTTATTGATGCTCTTTATAGTCCTTTATTAATTAAACTTCCAGAATTATCCCTCTACACTAACATGGAATAGGACATTATGATTAAGCTTCCTTAGCTTCCGAGATAGGGACAATAACCCCTCTAATCTTTCATATCCTTACTCATATTACAAGTTTAATTCTTTATTAATATATCACATTGAACAGTCTAATAGAATGGACATTCCTTTAAGT